GTGCACTAGATACAAACTCTCTATGTAAATACGAACTTAGCAGGTCAAGAGATACACTTTTTGCTATGTATCTTCCTTCCCTAACATGTAAATACCAACATGGAAAGTCAAGAAATGCGCTCTTCGTCATTGCGCTCTTCGCCATATATCCTCCTTTGAGCGAATTGTCTACCACCTAAGGTGATTTGTCGACTCGGTCCCGATGTGAAGATTAAGTCCCGTTTCCGCCAGGCGACGAAGATCGCGCATACATAAATCGCGCTCAGGTCCCGCACGGAAAATGGATGGCAGGAAGGTACAATGTTTCCAAACAAGTCGAAACGACTTGAGCCTGGCAGTACCCTCACCCCAGGATCTCTTCTTCAGAAACCACAGGAGCACGTCGTAATCCACTCCGTCCGACTCGAGAAAGCTGAGACTCGTCAATTTGGGAAGACGAGGAAAGGTTGTCGAGGTTTCCACACGCCGATGAAAGGGATAACTGTCACCGTCGATGCAGAGGATCGAGTCCTGAACCGCTCTGGTTGGATATTCCAGTTCGAGTTTCTCCAGCGTCGCACCGACGGAAGAGACGCTCTTTTCCCAATCTACAAAGTCCTCGTTGTTGGCGCGAATGTACAACGTGGTGAGTGGTGGCGCCGAGCGCTCGAAAAATTCGAGCAGAGATGGGTACGCGGTGTCCTCCACCTCGGAGATGTGTAGGACTTGAAGAGAAGGCAAGGTGAGATACGGAAGGATATCCATAGGGGGTTTGATAATGGGAACGAAGGCGAGCGACTGTAAATGGGGGTGGTAGACTGGCGAAACGGGCATGGGATCGAGAGATTCGACGGAACACTTCACTTCGATGAGGTTTAGCGCGACAGAGAACAGCTCCATGCTCTTTATTACGCCCTCGAAGGTCGTCAGCTGCAACCAAGGGAGGGTATAATATTCGAAGGAAGCCGCCAAGGAGACGTCGCGAAGCCGTGGCGCATGCGGGAACACCACAACAGGGTTGTCCAAATGGGCGGGAAAGATAGGGCCGAATGACACCCTCTCGAGTAGAGGGAGCTCGATGTCGTCCATTCCCAGTTGGCATATGTCCGTTTGGCTCAGATACAGTTCCAGATACTCGATTTTATTGGAGTGTCTGTTAATGATGTCGCCAATGCGTGTTGGCGGAAATGAACAGTCCTGGACAAGGTTGCCTCTCATTGCTCTATCGAAGCAAAGAGACAAGGGGCGGGTTCCTGCGCACCCAAGCCACCGGTCAATATAAGCTTCGACCTGCTCTGGTTCTGGGACCGCGACATCGCTGGAAATGGGATCGAAGTAGAGAGTGAGGGCGGTCCATAATTCGGGAGTGGAGAGCGCTATCAGTCTCCATTCGCGACAAACGGAAAGGAGATTCGCGGCCGCGGTGCCATATTTACTTTCCTCTCTTGCGAAGGGCCGACACCGGGCGAAGGGGAGACAACGAATGAAGATTTCCCGAGTTATTTCGACGGGCAACGTCAACACGGGAAAAGTGGCAGCGACCGCCAGTTGGCGCAGAATTAGTGTTCGTTTTTTACCGAGGAGATCGAGATCTCTTTTGGTTTGGGCGATATCGGCCTCAGTCTGTTCCAGCTGTTTGCGTAGCGCAAGCGTGGTCATGGTCTTCCGCAAGAAGATGAGTCAACAAAACCAAACAACCGTTGGTTTACTTGGTAGTTGTAAAACGAGGTTCGAGTTTCGTGAACACTTACTATTGTTCAGGCGTCCGGATCTAAGAGGTGCATTTAATCAATTGGGCGAAGGGTTCAATTTATTGGCCAGTGAGATGCGAAACAGGCTATGCAATACAGACTAATATTCAGTTTCGATCCCATGGTCCTTGGGAACCAGATGTTCAACCTGCAGCTGAAAAGATGGCCTATAAACCATGAAATCCATACCCCGAGCATGAAGCAATTGCATCCGGGTAAAGCTGTCGGACGAAAATTGTGGGCAATAGACTTTGACGCCCTTTAACTGGGATGCATGCCATCGTAACTCGACGGCTTGAGTGAATTGGTCATGGAGGCCGCCGATATCTGCTGGAAGGGTGGCCGAAATAAATTCCAGCGCAGGGGCCATGTCGAGGCGGGAACAGAGAAGCCGTGCAAATCCGACGGGAAGGGGAATCATCATGCCCAACTCTAACAGAGTTGGAACGGCGTCCATGATATCCACCAGGTCGGAGGTCTCGACGGTTTCTTGACCTTCCCACAAGACCAACTTCTGCAAAGTGCGGCGCTGTGAATGCCGACGGAGAAAGGCGAGGAGAGCGGGAGCGGGGGGGACGCAATAAAGCTCCCGGAGGATAGGGGCCTCAAGGCATTCCAAGAAATCTACATCCGAAAGCGATAGACGAAGTAGGCGGGGAAGAATGATGGGTGTTCGGGGCATTAAAATGTCGCCGATATCTGTCACTATCTCCAAAGAACAGTCGACGAGATTGGCGGCACTTTGGAGCGAATGGATGTGGCCAGCCCACGTGTTGCTTCCTCCATATTGCAACACCTTCGACCAGGGCAGCGCCATCGCGACAGGAAAGTTCCAGAGTCCCTTGTTTACGGTCACTCGCCGCAACGAGGGAGCGTTGTCGAAGTTCAACCCAGGAATGTCGTCGTCGTCGTCGTCGGGGCGATCGTCGTCGTCGTAAAGCATTTCGATCGTCAACTCGTGCAAAAGGGGGAAATGAAGAGAGCGATATTGCAAAGCCGAATAAGGGCCGGAAAATGATAGCATCTCCCAACGGGTGGAATGTTGCGCAAGGATATTGAGCATGCTTATTTCTTGTGTGGTATAAAATTCCTGGACACCACATTCAAATGTAATGGTCAGCGGTAGTGCTCCAGACCGCCGAAGGTGGGTTTCGAGCCTGAAACGGGTGATACCCTCGTCCGGAAAGACGAGGCGGATATACGTCCAAAAGGAAGGGTCGTATAGGACAATTGTACGCCAGCGATCGCAGACTGCGCTGACGCCCCAGGGAGCAGTCTCGAGATACTTCCGAGCATCTTTGCGGGCTGGCAAAGTAAATGCGAATATCGAGCACAAAATTTCCGGTGGTATACGTCGAAGGGGGGAGACGGCGCCAATGTGCTGTCCGATTGCCAAATCCAGCGCCTGCCGCTCCTTGACCAATGGATCAAGAGAAGACTGTAGAGACGCAATTTCAGCATCGATGGCAATCCTACGGGCGCGCGCGCCAGCGATAAATTCGCGGATGGAGGGGATTTGGGACTCGAGCGGTGGATGGTTTGTTTCGAGTATGTCGCGCGATACGACACTCGGGTCGAAAGGATGTGAGTTTAGATCGTAACCATGATGCGGGTCAGCGGATTCCGACATGGAATGGTTCAACAGGCCGCTGAAAGCCGCAGAGCGGTGGCACGCGCAAATTGCGCGCACTGAACTGAACCGAAATGGGCCGGGTAATCGGCCGGTGCTGGGTCGCTGCCTATTGGAGGGTCAATTCAGGAGCTTGGGAATACAATTTGCATTACTAGCGGAGGAGTATGCAGAGGGCGGGGGAAACTCGTGCGGGACGAAAGTGAGACAAGAGGTCGGAATTCGGTCGGAATGATCATGTCGGTCAGTTCGGCCCGTATGGCGCAAGCATCCGGCATCATTCTTTACGTACTCGTTCAACTTCAACTGTTCAACCTCGTCTTGCATTACAACAATCCTCGTATTTTCTAAGATGCTTCCAAGTTTTTGATTGACGCGCCTCGCGCCTCGCCGCGTCCGTAAAATGAACAACATCGAGATCGCCGAACGCCTTCCCACGGTTCCCCTTTTGCTTCCACCACCGTCTTCCTCGCCCTGCGCCCCCGGCTCGCACTTCATTTAGTTCTCCAATTCCTCGCATCGCCTCCCACAGCCCATCCCCCTCAATATTGTATCGATTTCATACCCTTTTCACCTGCCTACAAGGTCCAGTCAAGGCCAATTCACAAGGTTGGTGTCCGTATGAGGATTTGAGGGAGGAAGGAAGACACGCAGCAAACTGAATGTAATACAAGAGATATAATTCAGTTTGCTGCTAGCTGAAATGCAAGGCTGTTTTGTGTGTTTGCGGGGGGTTCGGCCCGGGCCGTCCCGGCCGACTTGGGGTTTTGGACGCAAGAGAAATGTTGCGGCAAAAACCGAGTCGGAATGCAACGGAACACGGGATAGGCCGAACCCGGGATGCCGCGGGCAGACTGAAGCCCACAGCAACCCGAGCGTGAGCTCAAAGAAACAAGTGGATGGGAGGGTGGGACTGAAAAAAACGCGGTTCAAAGCAGAGGTAAGAGGTTTTCTTTGCTTTTGCTTGAAGGCGGAAGCGAAGCTCAGACGTGTGGCAGTGCCTAAAAAACGCGATCTAATCTAATCTTGACGCACGCATAAATACAAAGTAAGGCAAATCCTATTTGACTACCACTACCTTGTCTCCCATTCAGGGAGACTCGCAAGCTCGTCTTTCCTGAGCTCACACCCAGGTAGCCGCGTCCCATGATGGGGGAATTTATAATTATGATGATGATGAAGGGCTATCTTGTATTGTCGTGGTGCCCAAAGGACCAAAAGGAGAGCTCTAGTAGCAAGTAGACTTCCATTCAGGCTCAAGAACAACAAGCCCGTGGGTCAACGATACTAGGATGCCGGGAGTCAGAATCGATGGTGGTGTGAAGGTGCACTGGTCTCCTGAGCAAGTCAACAGCTTATAATATGGTTCACCCATCACTCGGGACACTTAGGTGAGTCACTTTCTTTGTTCCAGATAACTTATCTCAAGTACTCGTCGATTTCCTTCCACAGTTGTACTTTTTCCGCGTGTTTCTGGAATTAGTTGAAGCTGGCTTTGCCTCATCGTAACCCATGATCCTTGCATAATCGTCTCCAGAGGCGATTCGGGGGTCATTTTTCTTTGTTAATGCCGTTTAACCCACGACGGAAACGATAAATGGAAATGGGATGTACTAATTTTGCAAAAAGACGTAAAAGGACTCTCGACCTGGGAGTCGAACCCAGCTCTGCCGCGAAGCGAATTATGAACACGCATGACAAGCGGCTGTACTAAACCGATATACTAGTCAAGACATGTCAGAAGATGGGCAAAAAGTACTAAGGGCTATCAAAGAAACTAACATGATCATCTTTCAGAATTCACCTTCGATCTGCCACGGTCAAACGAAGGCTAAGCACACCCCGGGCCCTCTGCAAGTCAGCCCGAGTACAGTAACAATCTAGGACACCTGCATCTAAATCAGCACCCATGTAGTCTGACAACTGTAACGGTAACTGTACTCAACTGCCATGCCAGTGATCCTGCTCGATTCTGATATATACAGTATTCAACTCAATGATCAGACTAAGTAAGCCAAGCGAAGGCCTGGGCTAGACGGCGGCGGTTCTTGGCATCGATTCTCGGACAGTCATACAAACAAATACTTCGTGCGGCACGTCAGAGACTTGAATAAATTTACCTTTAAGCTGACAATCTCGGCGGAATTAAGTACCCTAGTCGGCGGCCGCCATACTCTTGACCTGCATGCACCTTCGGTGGAATACAGTGCAGAATACGAGTACTAACGGATTTACTATGACCGTTCGCTCGGCGAGCACGGCTATGGAGGACACCGCGAATTTGCCTCCGATGTGCAGCCGAATTGGGGTCGTGTGATTGGTTAACCCAAATGCGGAAAGTGAACGTTAGAAATGAGGACCTCCCCGGTCGCAGTCAGCGTGCGCCAAAAAAAAACACATAGACGTCCTCCCTCCGCACACAAACCGTCCCTTTGCCTCCCCTCCTCCTGCCCCTTCCACTCTACCCTTCTCCCATCCACTCCTCCGCGATTCCCCACCTTCAAATTAAAAAACCAATAAACAACCCTCGGCAAAGAATCATAATGTCCTCACTGGCAGACGAATGCACCTCCCCGCGTAACCCGAACACGTATTTCCACCTCCGCGTCGCCTCTGTCTTCATCGTGCTCGTGTGCGCCACGGGCGGGACGCTCTTCCCCGTCCTTGCACGGAGGAGCAAGTGGCTGCATGTACCAAAGGCCGTCTTCGAGTGCGTTCATTCAATTCCTTCCTCCCTTCCCTTCCTCCCATTCCTCCCTCTTTACCCTTCCTTCCTTCCGTCCTGGAGCCAGCGCAATGCTGACACGTTACTACTCCTTCCTAGCTTCGCAAAGTACTTCGGATCGGGCGTCATCGTAAGTACCCACTTACCTCCCCAGTACCTCCCCAGTCACGCCAATTCTTGACGACTGACTGCTCTCCCGCAGATCGCCACGGCCTTCATCCACCTGCTCTACCCCGGCCTCCAGGAGCTCTCCTCGCCGTGCTTGGCACCCGGCTGGTCCGAATACGTGCGTCTCTCGCATTCCTCCCTTCCTTCGTCCGATCCCGCCGTATCGCCACACGCACCACACCCGCTTTCCCTCCATCTATCCATCCATCCATTTCCATTTACCCATCTTGGTCCCTCCCTTCCTCCCTTCATTCCATACCCTCACCTCGCCTCACCGCTCCCGATACCGCCCCCATTCTCTTTTCTTTATAATAATCCCAAATTTGCTTGCATATCAGGCTAACGATGCACACAGCCCTACGCCCTCGCCCTCTGCCTCCTCAGCATCTTCTCCATCTTCATCCTCGAGCTCGTCGCCTTCCGATGGGGGACCGCACGGTTGCAGAGGATCGGGATGCGGCATGGTGAGTTGGTATTTTGTTTTGGCTTTTGGCGAGATTTGTTTATTTGCCGGGACACGCGCTGCGTCGGTGGCGGGGCGGGAGATGGGCGCCGCCGTCCGCGCGTCTTGGTGCGCGGAGTTCGCCGCCTTTTTCGCGGGAGAGGTGTCGTGCGTCCTCCCGTCCAACGAGCGACTTGATTCTTCACCCTCACCCCGGCGGAATTTTCCTCGTCCCCTTCATCTCTTTTCCCCCCTTAGTGTGGGGACGCATTCCTTCCGCTCCCGATTCGTCCTTTCTTTTAGAGTCGGGTGCTTCTGTTGGCACCTTATTTTCCGAGGCAAAGACGTTATGTTCCTCGTCGCTTGCCTTTGTGCCGGGACGCGTTGGCGGCGAGGCGCACTCCACCGTCGGCGCATCCTGGTGGGCGGAGGTTCATGATTCGCCGCCTTTCTCTGAAGAGGTGTCGGATGGCTTGCTTCCCCCTACGTCCTTTCCTTCATCGAGCGCCTTCATTCTTTCTTCCACCTTCACCCGGGAAGTTGTTATGTTCTTCGTCGCTTGCCTTTCTGCCGGGACGCGTGGGTGGCGAGAGATGGGCGCTGGGCGGTGGTGGGAAGTGCCGCACATCTGCTTAACCAGCTGGGTTGTTGGGGGTGGCGAGTACGGTCGGGTATCCTGCGTCGAGCGCCGCAGGCGACTTCATTCTTCCTTCTATCTTCGCCCGGATCTTCTGCGTCCCTTCATATTTTTGCCCTCTCGTGCTTCCTTCCTGGTGGGCGGTGGGCGGCGGCGGTGGAGGCAAGGTGTCCCACGTTGATACTGTCCTACCTAGCTGGCTCGTCGGGAGGTGGCGAGTACGGTCGCTTGCGGGAGCCAGGGAAGGAAGGGGAATCCGCCCGCCGCGGGGGCAGGACAAAGGGAGTGTCGGCGGCGCTTTCGTCGTCAGCAAGACCTTGCGCTGGCGCGTAGCAGCTGAGCCGCCGCCTTCAATTTCGACGGCCATACTTATATCCCTTCTCTTCTTCTCATTTCCCTTTCCTTCCTGCTTTCCTTTCCGTCCCACCCATCTAACCCCGTTCCTCCTCCCAGACCCCCACGGCCACTACACCGGCTCGCACGCCGCGCACGGGCCCGAGGGCGGCGCGCGCACGCCGCCTGCGCACGGCGCCTCGTCTCCCGCGCTCCCGATGCCGACGAAGGAGACCGCCGAGTCGTCGTCAGCCGCATCATCCGCATCCGCATCCGCATCCGAGGACGAGGGGCAGCACCACGACGAGCACGCGCACCAACATCAACACCACTCGCACGACGCGGGGCACTCGCACTCGCACGCGGGACACTCGCACCAGCCGGGGCATGCGCATGGACTCGACGGGCACGGACATGGACACGATGTGGGGCATGGGCATTCGCACCAGCCTGATTCAGGTGATGGCGATTTGGAGTCGGGGATGGGGGTGGGGACGGCGACGGGGCTGGACGACGGGGCGGCGGCGCAGATCGTGGGGATCGCGATATTGGAGTTTGGGGTGCTGTTGCATAGGTGGGTTCCGTATCTCTTCGTATCCCTTTGCTTGATGGCGAGAGAGGATGGATTAACGCTAACGTCGATTCATTTCAGTGTACTCATCGGGCTGACGCTCGCGGTGGACGAAGGCTTCAAGGTTCTCTTCGTCGTTATCGTATTTCATCGTTAGTCTCCCTTCCTTCCTTCCTCCCCTCCCTCCTCCCCTCCCTTCCTTCCCTCCCAATACCGACTAACACACGCACAGAAACATTCGAAGGCCTCGGCCTCGGCTCGCGCCTCGCCTACATCCGCCTCCCCCCCACGCCGCGCTACCGCCACGTCCCCGTCCTCGCCGCGCTCATCTACGGGCTCAGCACCCCCACCGGCATCGCCCTCGGCCTCGCCCTGCGCAGCTCGTACAACCCGGGCGGCGCGACGGCGAGTTTGGTGAGCGGGGTGCTGGACTCGCTGAGTGCGGGGATATTGATTTATACGGGGTTGGTTGAGGTAAGCGCGTTTCTTCCTCCTTTTTCTTATCCGAATTCGTTCGTTCGCTCGATCGTTCGTTCGTTCTCATCCTGTTCTTTCGTTCTCTCATCCCTCTGCAATAAAAACAAAAATACTAACAAGTGGGCGTAGTTATTGGCGCACGAGTTTCTCTTCAACAAGGAGATGATGAGCAGCTCGAATGGGCGGCTGGCGTATGCGATTGGGACGATGTTGCTGGGGTGTGCGGTTATGGCGCTGTTGGGGAAGTGGGCTTAGGAGCTGCCGTTCCAGCGCGCGCGGCGTTCCAGACCGCGCGGGAGGGCGGAAGCGTGCGCCGAGGAGGAGGGAGGGAGGAAGGAAGGAAGGAAGGAAACCGCCACGTCGGCGGAATTGTACGATACTCACTCGGACTGCGTTACAGGCTACAGACAGCTACGCTCATCTCATCTCATCTCATCTACCTCATCTACCTCATCTCATCTACCCCATCCACTTTGCATGTTGCTTTCCATCCACTGTTTTCGTATTTTTATTCCCTGCTCTTCGTATCACGGACTAGTTAGGTTTCTATCATAGAGTACTTTGTACAAAGAAGGGAGGAAAAATAAATAAATTGTAGATCGTGTTTTCTTGGTTCGTCCCGTTCAGTGTTGTCACCGACTTTTTTAAAAATGGATGTAGCACGGGAAGTCTATGAGGAGAAATTGTGAAAATATTTGGACGCCTAGAGGACCCGAAAAGCCGGCAGGCGTACTGTGAAAACGGCTTTATCACTGCATTCAACGGTGGGCTAGCCGGCTGTGGCTATGTTCGGCTAGCTGACGGCTAGCTGAGGCTATGTTCGGCTAGGCTATGAGCTAGCCGAGGCTAGCCGAGCTGGCCATCAGCTAGACGAAGCTAGCCACGACGTGGCTATCCCACCGTTGAATGCAGTGTATAAATGGCTCCAATGGCTCACATCAAATATCACCACGATACCTTGGCCGGCCGCTTAGGAGTAAGGGAAGACCCTTCGGCTTTCAGGGTCTTCGATATACCCAAATATGTCCAGAATTTTCCTTGAAGTATTCCTATGGTGCGGGTCACCTAGCTGCCGCTACCTGATGCCCGAGATTGGACATCATTTTCCGGGCCGAGATTTACCTTTATTTCTTATCCCTTTAGCCAAAGTGATTCTTTTGACCGTCTGAACAATCTGGCTAAAGGGATTTCCATTTAAGTCAAAACTGAGTGAGCAAAAATAAATGGTGTCCTGAAATTGGCCACTTGCGGGGGAAATGAAGGAAAATCTTGCTGATGGTGGCAGTGCTCAGGCCAAAAAATTTCTCCAGTCAATTTGGCCACTAATTTCGGCTAGCGGCAGCTAGGCGGCCCGCACCATAGTGCCGCGTCGATTTCAAA